TTAATTAATTCATTGAGCATTCCTAAAAATTCAACAAAGTCTCCCACAAAAACTAAACTTCCTCCCTGTTAACAACAAATTAACACACAATACAGACAACTTCATCTAGATAATCATAAATAATGCTATTTCAACCAAATTAAATATGTTACTAATCAAGATCAATAATTTGTATATAATAAAATAAAAAACTCACTTCAATTTTAATTAATTCATAAAGCATTCCTAAAAACTTGACAGAGTCTTCTTTAAAAACTAGACTTCCTCCCTGTTAGCAACAAACTTGCAATATACCCTGTTCTAAATAATCACAAGCTCTATTTCAACTAAATTAAATAGGTTATTAACCAAAATAAAAATTTTGTACAGAATTTTGTGCAGAATTTTCTAGACCCTAACTGGTTTGGAAGAAAACAAGGAAATCGACAAGAAACTTGAAAGGCAAAACCCTTTCGTAAGCCCCTCAACTTTTTCAATAGCAAATGACAAGCCCCTGAATTAAAAAGGTGGCAAATAAGCCCACCAACCCCATGTTTGCTTTTTTTTTTTTTTCCCTTTACTTAGTTTTGTTTTTAGTAATAATATATTTTTAATGAATTAATTAATATTATATAATATACTTATCCTCAAGTGATATTTTTTAATAAAATAATGATATTTTTTATTTTAATTAATAATACATTTTACTTCAATAATCTTTATAAATTACTTAAATTTAACTAAACCACCAAATTAATAAAAAAAATTTTAAACATGTTCTTTAAGGATATGTAGTTTAATTAAATAAAAGAAATAATTTATAAAAATTATTGAAGTAAAATGTATTATTAATTAAAATAAAAAATATCATTATTTTATTAAAAAATACTTAAAGATATGTATTTTATATAACATCAATTAATTGATTAATTAAAAATATATATATTAATATTAAAAACAAATGAAGTAAAGGCCAAAAAAAAAAAATGCAGAGGCGTGCAAGTGCAATGCCACGCAAGCCAACGACAAATGGCATCACAAAATCTGTTAGCAGAGGGGCTGATTTGCACCCAACATGAGGTTGGAGGGCTTATTTGCCACTTTTTTAATTCAAGGGCTTGTCAAGTGCAATGCGACGCAAGCCAACGACAAATGGCATCACAAAATCTGTTAGCAGGGGGTTTGATTTGCACCCAACATATGGTTGGAGGGCTTATTTGCCACTTTTTTAATTCAAGGGCTTGTCACTTGTTGTTGAAAAAGTTGAGGAGCCTAAGGAGGATTTTTGCCAACTTGAAACCAAAATCAGCAAGAAAATCCAACAATCACGTATGTAC